TCATTAGGTTTTCAGTACAGCATGTGGCCGTGCTCCCAGGGTCAAGAAAGGCGTAGGTTTGAATATACTTGCTTCCTTTTGCTGCTTTAACTTGCACCGGAACAATAGCAAGGGCACAATCCTCACCAGCCCCTGTTGACTGATCAGCTGATACTTTCGCACTGTTGATGGACGCTCGCTTTGGTTCTGTTCTACTGTTTTGCAGGGTGACTGGCTTTGAATTTAAATCATCAATATGCAGCAGTGTTGGATGTTTCCTTTGGCATGTTAAACAGTTTAGCTGGAATTTAGAGTCTTTGCTCATGTGACCCTTCTTAAGGCAACCAAAACAGTAAAAATGTGTCTTTTATTGGGATTTGAGTCTTTAATTTCTCCAAACACTGGGTGCAATAATGTCAGAATGCTTTTCGGTGAATTCGACCAGATGTTTGAGTTTGAATCTAGCTCTGATATTTTTCTTTTGAAATTCATACGCTGTTGTGCGCCATCTTTCCCTGAGCTTATATGGTAGCTTGGATACAGTTAGTCTTAAAGTTGATGTGACGTCAAGCTCATCCATGTACTCCAAGTCCTGCATGGCATTAAGGCATTCTCTTAGGTAATGAGTAGTAGTAGTAGTAGTAGTAGTAGTAGTAGTAGTAGTAGTAGTAGTAGTATGAGGTAGTGAGTAGGCATGAAGAGATTTTCCATCATCTGGCTTGATAGCTGTCCAGTTGAGTGCCTTATCCAGATAAGCATTTTCATAATGTCTATTTAAAAGTTGCATGGCCTCTGAATATCCTCTTTGTGCATCCATGTGAAGACAGCTACGGGCCAGATCTCTGGCTTGACCTGATGTAAACTGTTCAAGAAAGTAGAGCCTGTCCTGGTAGTTAGGCTACTATAGTTTTTTCTTCAATTAGGTATCTGAATGCATGCATGAAAGGTTGATAAGAGAGTGGGTCACCATTAAACACAGGCACCTCTCTCTTAAGTAGCAAGGATAGATTTTGTTGCATTATCATGAGATCAGCCATGTCCTTTTGTCTCTGTGCCAGTGTGTTGAGGTTTTCCTGAGTGAAAGTGTAGATTGCAGGATTTTCCAGTTGTGGGCTTGATGCACCTTTTGCTTGCCAAGATATTTTATGGAAATCCACAATTGTTCTATGTAGTGGAGTTTTAGGTACAGCAGCTACTTCAATACATTCCAAGACACGTCTGAATACGTTTGCTCATTGTCCAGTTTACCTTCTTCATAAGCATTCATAGCATCCCCAAGATGATCACCCTCATTTGGGCTGAGAAGTAGCCTACCCTCATTTTGGCATCTGCTGCAGCAATCTGTGATTCCATCTCCACCTTTTCCATTTTTGATTTGAGAATTGTTTCCTCCAGTCGCAGTGCATGCACGTCCTTTAAAGCAGCAGACTTAGCCTCCAGAGCTGCCCTTTCTGCTGATGCTAACTTAGCAGCAGATGAGGCCCTTGATGTTGTAGTCCTTTTTGGAGGCATTGGAGATACTGTCAAATGGATCAACTTGTAGTTGTGCAATACGTTCTCTTCTCCATGCTTTAACTTCCTTTGCAAAGTAATTAAAGTTCATAATTCTGGGTTCATACCAGTCTGTTACATCAATGTCCTTTTCCTCTTCAGATAAGAGTTGCTGGAGAGAATGATGCACTTTATTGAATTCATCCATAGCAGTTTTAAACATATCCATACAATCATCAACATTTCCACCGTCAGTGAGTAGGGCTTTAGTTTCATTTAGTTGTCTTGTGCACACTCAGAGCTCCCCTCTGCGTGTGGCCGTGAGGGATTTTAAAAGATCCTCTGCCGCCATGACAGTTTTAGGTTCAGTCATTTTTACTTGAGAGTTGCTTTTAAATTGTATTAAATTCCTTTGATCAGATTGCGTCTGCGTTAATCCTTAACGTAAAACTGGCTTGCACAGACGTCCTTATTAATTATTCCATCCATAACATTTGACACGTTTGGCTCATATGCGTACTGTATACATCCATTAATGAAATCACAACAAGCATGACTCATTCATTTATTCTTCTTGTTTACTCACGAGTCCCACGCGCACTGCCTCGCGGACAAACATTTCCAAAACGAGGCCGGCTTCTGTCTTCCTCTATTTTGTCTTTCCAAGCGACTCACGGAAGTTTCAATATGGACATCATTTTATCCTTCTTTGCAGCGGGCCATCCACAGAAAAAGGGTTTCCAAAAAATAGTATCCATTCATGTGGCTGGTTTTTCCACTATAAAGCGGCCAAAAATCATACAAATATAAGAAAGAAATAACTCAAAGCAAAGTGCCGCTGAGGCACCCGTCAGCGAATCTTACGCATGGGTACAAATCAAGCTCCGAGTAAAAGTCGTTTTAGTGCAATTTATTATACACATAAAGCATTTTTCTTCGTTCTTACCCGATGGTAAAAAACCATAGGCCTACCGGCGCCGCCCAATACCACCTGTTTCCCAGATTTATAATGAGCAGGTCTCCCATCCCCCGGTGCCCAAAGGCTGCCTTTACAAAACAGAGGCATAGTACAACTTATTGATAAACTTAAGTAAGAATTAAAAGGAAGATTTACAATAAACAAAAAAGAACAATACAATAAATGGATAACTATTAAATAATATAAGCTCCTCCTAGATATGGCTTCATCAGCTCCCAATGAGGAACCAAGAGACAAGCAGGTGACAAACAGAAGCAGGCGGACACTTTAGAAAAGGAACAAATGCCTTAGTTGGCAAGAAAGGTAAAGAATATTTGCAAGTTTTTATAGCAGCAGCAGCAGCAGCTTATAAAATCATCATTAGTAACCAGTTTTCCTGGTTCTTATTATAGGCCATCTGGTTTTAATTTTAGGAAGCGTTCTTTTAATTTGGGTTGTGGTCACATTAGTGTGACAGTACATGAATGCAGATGTGTTCCACAAGCAATGTTGTACATTTAACCAGCTCGATGACAGCAAAAGGATGTTTCGAACCGGTGTAAAACTCAACGGCACAAGTGGAGTGCTTGAGTCAGGATCAGAATAGAGTTGCTGTACAAAAGGCAGACTATGCACTGTTGGCCAACATGTGGAACAAACTTGTAAAAATGTTGAAGATGTGAATTTAATGGCTGCATGTTTCTAATGTTTGTTTAATATAATAAAACCAATGCAGTGCACTCTTGTATACCTTGTTTATTGAAATGTCACAATGCGTCTAATGCACATCCAGGTGAATTTAAGTGTTTTCAGTTTCTTTCTCTTTTTTTTGTGAAATCGTGTCAGAGAACTGTCACAATCTTTATTTTGTAGCAACAACTAATAGTGTTTGAACTATAAAGTGTATCAAGCACAAGTCCCTCATACCTCCCATAGCTTCCACAAAAATGCTTTATCCATAACTTTCAAACAAATACTCTCTAGGTCACAAACAGATGGTATGTTTAATGTTGCATTGTAAAGGGACAGAGAATCAAAAAAAGGCATCAAAATGTTAAAAGTGTCACTGTGAAGAGTCTTAAATAGTTTGTTGTCTGATTCAGTCATCAAGTTGGCAGAGCATAGCCACACCACGCTTGATCCAGTGTTGAGGGCGATTCTTTGTTGGCAACACCATGGAAATGACAAAGTTGGTGGAGTGGCCTGTGGTGGAGAGGGTGCCCTTCCTCTCACTGGTCTTGTAGAGAGGGCAGACATACAACTGAGTCTGATCAAAGCTCTTATTTTTAGCTGCATGGGGGCAAAGGAAGCAAAAAGGAAAAGCAAAGTCAGGATGAACAGCAAAATAAAAAGTTACACTTTTACAATTATGAGTTGGAAATAGACACCTGAAGAGAAGGATGACAGGCATTTCAATTGACATGCAATGTGCAAAATATGGAAATGTACTTACTGGGTTTGACCCAGATGATTGGCACCACGTCAAACAGGACTTTGGGCTGCTGCTCAGCTAGAACTCCACTGGTGTTAGGGAGACAAACAATATAGGTTTATCAAGTTTCCCTGCACGTCTTTAAAACAATGATAGTTAAATATTTAAAATAAAAAAAACATGTATGAATATTAACCTTTCTTTATCCCATCGAGCTCCATCCAGAAACATTCCATTAACGTAAACGCCATCCTCAGGCGATGTGTCTGACTCATCAATAGTGAGAACCTGTGATATCAAATCATGAAAACAAAACCAGAGACTTTTAGGTAAATAAGAAGATCTCTAAGGTGGTGACAGAGATCACAAAGCGTGTGTTTTTTGACCTGAAAATCAAAGCCTAGCAGGTCAATGGGGATGTGGTATTTCCTGGCGTAGTTCTGCATAGCCCCAGTTAGGAAGGCCTGGGTGAAGAAGAAGCCAGAGAGCCAGAACACGTTGGGTTTGTAGCTGTCGTACCAACCCTACAGACACACAAAGGGAAACTATAGGTGTAAACACTCAAAGTCCTATCTCCTGTTAGTCAAAATTAAGTTTTCTCACCTGCAAAAACTTGAGTCTTAAGAGAAAATCAGTAATGTAGCTGCCCAATGGCATGAGGCTGGGGTATGAGTACTTTGCCCATTTCTCTGGGAACTTTCCAACTGCCAAACTGCCAGCAACCGCCTCCAGCTCCGCATCCATCACTACCAAACCCTTGATGGCCTTCAACAGATTCTGCAGACTGAGACGGATCGTCCCACAAAGCCTGAGGGAGCGAGGGAGGAATTAGAAACAGCCGTCAAGTCATATAGGTGATGATGTGTGTGTGTTTTAACTGTCTGTAGTGGGATGTTTGTTCATACGTGTTATAACGCTCCATCTCTTGGACGAGCACAGTGTTCATACTCTCCTCGTATTGCACTGGGAACTTCAAGAGAGCTGCTTCTGTGTCAAAGTTAGCTGGAAGCTGGAGGAAATAAGCAAGTCTGTTAGTCAAGAATATACAGCTGAGTGAATGTAGATTCAAGATAAAGGAAACACCAACAGATAGTGGCACATTAGTGAAACGCTACACCTATGCATTTCTTTCCAAAATATGAACCATACATCCAGAAAAGTCTAATTTAAAAAGAGATTGAGTGGTTTATACCTTAGTAAGGATGTCATTCGCTATGTCGTACAGCGTGTTGTCACTCCCACTGCTAGCCCCTCCCTTAGCTCCTCCACCCTGGGTGAGTATCAGCGAATCAAACAGCAGCTTTGTCTGCTGGAGATCTTTAGAAATGTCTACATTTTCATGCATCCCAAACACCTCTGGATGCTGGCTGAGAGGAAGCTCCTATAGAACACACAAAAGATATTCATACTTAGTAAAAAGTCAAACAAATTAAATTCATATTTATCTTGTTTGTGTGTGTTATCTCGAGCCCTGTACCTTTATAAACTCAAGGTAGTCATCATAGACAGACTTAGGTGGGGCAAAGTATTCGCCACTAGGTGAGAAGGGGTAGCGAGGTTTCTCAATGATGTCATTGTTGTAGAAGTCAGCCAAGATGGTCATCAGGAGCCTCCTGTCCCAGTCGTCTGTCACGCGGCCGCCATAGTTACACTCCCCGGTCAGGTAGGTTATGGCCTCAAAGGGCACCTCGTCGTATTCATTCACAAACAGCTAAATGGAGAGATAACATCAAATGCACTTTAAGAATGTTGTGATGTAGAAACGTGACCACTGAAACTCTGAATGAATACCTGTAGCTGTCTGATGCTCATACGCAGGTCAGACTCGTTGAAGCCATAGGGAATGTTCCAGCCCAGTGGACCAAACTTCTTCCTCTCCTGAACAAGAGCATGGAAGAAGCACAGTCCATACAACAGCTTCTCCCAGATCTGGTGAAGGAAGAGTACGAGATGTCCTTCAAAGTATAAGACAACCCTTTTTCAATAAACAAATGCAAAATAATCATATATATAACACTCACCATCTCCTTGTTGGGGCAGTTATTGAAGAAGTTTGAGTCAGACAGAGGATCTGACACGTAAGACTGCAGCAGGTTGAGCCGGAGTCCAGTAGGAGGCTCATTTGTCATTTTCACCCCGTTCTGAAGGATGGTTACTGGAAACTGATATCAGAAAGAATGTTGTTTCTTTAGGACTATGATGCAAATTAATCTCTGTCTTTCTATTTAAGGTTTTAAGTGTGTACACAAAAGCCAAATGAGATGCATTTTACCTTGGCTGAAGGGTAGCTTGTGAGCCAAAGGCGGAATTCTGGGTGGCATGTTGCTGGACTGAAGTCCTCGCAGATTTTCTCGAGGCTGGACATCCAGGAGACGGCCAGGTGACAGTTCTGCAGACACACCCACGTCCCGTCCTGCATGGCTGTGGTTATCATTTTGGCAGCGATGGGTCCCTGCCCCTGCCCCAGAGAGATGGACTGGAACTTGGCTCCATCCATGTTCTTGTCAGTGGCGAACTTCAGCAAGCCTGTGAAGGGATGTTGTTATTTCTGAAGCATTATAAAGAACCTTGATAGTCAATCTTGTTACTTACTAGCCATGGGATCAGCTCCTGGAGACAGCACAAATACGAGTGGGACGGTGGAGTTGGAGTCCAGGTAGCTCTTACACAGGTCAAATGGAGGGGGCTGGACGAATTTCTTTCCAAGTTTGCCAGTCACATATTTAATGACAGCTGGAACGATCTTATCAGGTCTGAGAGAGCGAACAATGATCATCATATGCAGGTCATTTAGTTTCTCACACCACTGAGCGGGCAGAGGAGTGTTGCTGGGCTCTTTGCTGTCATAAATAGATTTAAAGTCTTCTGGGTTTTTGATGAAAGCCTCTCTGTGGAATGAATAATACATTCACTCCATTAGGATTTTGTGTGTGTAAAAGCAAGACAGTTTAGCACTAGACAAAAACCGGAAAAAGCATTTTTGGTTGAATGAGTGATAGGGCTGCTCAATTAATCGTATTTTAATCACAATTACGATTATGGCTTGCAACGAATACGAAAACAATGTAATCGAAATATAACGATTATTTTTTTCTTATTATTATTTTTTCCTTATTAATTTTTTTTTTTTATTGGTTTTTCAGTTTAGTTATACTTAAAGTTCAGGGTAATCAACTGTTAAAAACATACTGTTCAAAAGTTTTTTCTCCAATAAATTGATGTTTTCAAAGTAAATGGATAATCGTTTTTAATAATCGTGATATTCATTATTGACCCAAATAATCGAGATTATGATTTTTGCCATAATCGAGCAGCCCTACTGAGTGATGCTTTTTACTTTATTCCTTGTAAGCCAGACAGGTCACTGGCTCTGCAGATCTCATCCCAGCTCTTGTCCTGCAGCCAGCTGGGGTCGGGGTTAGCGATGGTGTTCTGCAGGCCCACTCCTCCAGTCAGAAAGAACATGAAGTCAGAGTATAAAATCTCCTTTTTCGCTCTGAGGGGAAATAGAAAAGGATAGCAAATATTCACATAGTATATCTGTATCTGAGAAATCAAATTACAATGATCTAATTAATCCAATCAATACTTCTCTAGTAGCTTTTACACTTACAGGAGTAGATTGTTGCAGAGCAGGAAGGAGAAGAGGAGTTTGTCTTTCTCAAACAGAGAGCGACAGACGTTACAGTACAGGTTGTAGGTGAAGTGATCGATCAGGTACCGAAGCCTCCTCTCCAGGATCTTGGACTTGTTACTGATGAACAAAAAACAAAACGAGGGAAGCTTCAGATGAAAACAGACTCACTCCTAAAAGTTGTACAGTATAAACCTAATCTGAAAAAATCTGTTTGCTTTCAATTAGTCCTTAATCATAAGGTTTCTGTGGGGTTAACTGAATTGACCAAACATTAGGGATGATTTGGAAGGAAAGTTGCCAGTTTGTGGGCGTGGGTACCACTAGCATTGTCAATAATCTCTTCCAATTCAAATTGACAACAATTCTGACTGAGACAATAATTGAGCCTGCCATTGAAATAGACTCACAGGGAGTTGCTGCAATAAACCTCCTCATTGTTAAACGTGTAATTCTTATATGATATTCAGGTTTGTGTTGATGTATAACAGTGGAGATGCATGTATTTAAGTCTTAGACCCCATTTACATGGGAGCGCAAACGCAAAATCAAAAAAGTCTTCCGTTCACAGAACTTCACACGCATTCGGCTCATTTAACGTGTCCGTTCACACAAGACCACTGGAAACGCTGTAGTACATATGTCGGGCCTGTAAGTGGCGCTGTACTTCCGCACGAGACCGCTTGACCCGCTGGAGACGCTGTAGTACATATGCCGGGCCTGTAAGTGGCGCTGTACTTCTGCCACAAAATACACCAAAAGCAGCGAAGAAGACCCCCTAGCATGGTTGCCATGGTTGCCCTTCTGTTTATGCCCCACGGTAGATTTAGCAACATGTAGTTCATGTCATTCTCCATGTCCGCTTGTTGCTGATGGTTGTGGTAGAGGAGCTGTAGATTTTGCACTAACATCTGTATCATGGTCAGTAGCAATAGCACTAGCAGTAGCTAGCTACTGACCATGCTACAGCAGTGAGCAGCAGAGGTGGGGCTATGGCTAATCAATGTAATTGTTTTTTGGGACACTGCAGAACACAGTTCATGTGCATTACTCACCTGTCATGTATGGAGTTAATGTAGAGGTTGACAAACCAGCTGAGAGAGTACTGGTACATTGGGTCTATGTTGGTCAGATCGGCGATGCTGAAGAACAGGATGGAGGAGTGCTTGGCGATGGCTCTGTAACCCTCTCTCGACTCTGCTATCTTGATCTCTGTCTTTTCTGCAATCTAGGGAAATATGTGAAAGGGTCAAATAGATTACCAATGAGCTGACTAGTCATTTTCACAGTCCAGGTATTGTGATTATTGCATTGTCCACACCTGCTGTTTCTTGCTAATCTCATTGGACATGATCTTTGCTGAGTCCAGAATCTGAATGGCACTTTCATCTTCCAGGATATTCCCTTTAGAGGACTGCAGTGTCTCCAGGATATTGTCCTCAATTTCCTTTAGCTGCCTTTTATTTTCAGCTGACTGCAGGATAAGTGCACATCTCTCCTCTTCCAGTTCTGGCCTGCAGAGCAAATAGAGCAGAAACAGTGCTCTAAAGAAGAGATCAAAAGTATTTCAGTTTGTGTACCAACTTGTCCTTTTTATGGCTGCTACCTCTCCTTGGCAACCACAATCCCCAGCAGCTGGTCCTCTAAGCCCTCTGGTGTGATCATGAAGTTGAGAAGGGACACCTTGGTGGCCAGTTCTGGTAGGTAGTGAGGGTTCTTCAGCTTAGTGGTGATGTAAAAACGGAAATCACGGGAGTACTCAATCACACTCTCCCCCAGCTTGATGCAATCCACACCACCTGCGTGAAAACAAAGAATAAATGTTGAACTCTCACAGTTTTAGTTTTACATTCAAGTATTTTCTTTCCACCAAATATCACAGTCACAGCACCTTGTTTGAAGGTTTGTTTGAGCAGCAGTGGTTCCAATGATGGGTCCAGCTCCTCTCCTACATTTTCGAGGAGCAATGGTGTTCCAAATTGAATACAGTTTTCCAAAGTTCTCATGTAGTCCCCGTCTGTAAGCTTGATTACACTCAGCTTGTTTTCTTTCTCTGAATTTTTCACCCACTTGTTGGCCTGACCCTGAGGGTCAATCATCAAGGGCCTACAAATGGATAAGATAAATCTTAGGTCGAATTGTTCAAATTTCTTGACACATTTTTCAGCAACTTCACTACCATTTTTTCAGCAATACAGACTTACCATCTACGTGAATTACTGACAATAACCCCGTTGTCAATGGAGAAAGAGTCACTGGGAAGACCTGCGATGTTCCACGCTCTGATCTTAATGGGATCTCCCAACGTCTTACTGAGAGAGAAGTCATCTGCTGATGGAACCTTCTTAGACTAGACATATCAAAATAGGTGAAAAGAATATAATAAGTATTTTAATATGCCAGATAAAGTGATCAAATGGTAGGATAAAGAATGGGAGGAGTGTTACTTGGCAGAGTTTGGTCCATGCCATAGTGCAGTCCTGTCTGAAGCCAGCAGTGAAGGCACCCAGATAGGCGATGACCCCCGCGGAGATGAGAACATCTCCAGTCAGGTTGTCATATGTGTTCTGCAGGTCGTCTGCTGCCTTGGACCATCTAAAGCCACGATCAGAATCAGAATCAGAATCAAGTTTATTGCCAGCTACGTTTACACATACAAGGAATTTGCTTTTGGTATCTGGTGGTGCGAACATAAACAATCTAAGAAAAATAATTTGCAATAGTAGGTGAAAAAAGGAATATATAAGAATAATACAAAATAAGTATTTTTAAGAAACACGATAGCATTGAAAAAAGATACTAAAGACAAGTATTTACACCCAAAAATATGACAATATGACAATATATGGCTACTACAGTGTATTATATTTTAAAGTGGAGGGCTGTGCAGACATGTGTGCAAACATGCATTGTTATGAGTGGAACATTTTAATTATCTTGCAGCCAACAATAAACAATTTAATATGTATGCAGATCACCTGTTGTAGGAAATTGGGTTATTAACATTATATATAGATGTGATGAATTCAACCAAAGTTCATTTATTACTTGCATAACTTATGTGTGGTTTAATTATAAGTGAAAATGGAGTATACAGGAGGAAGTAGACATTCACAAAAAAAAGTGCGACGATTAGATTATAAAAGAAGGAGACTACAACGCAATTCCTGACCTGGTCTTCTCCCCGCCCAGACCCCCAATGAGTTTCTCAGCCCTCTCCAACTTCCTGGCACATGATTCCACCTGGGACTCCAGTTGGGCCTTCTCCGCTGTTTTCTCCTCAAAGGTTTTCTGAAGGGCAGCCAGCCGGTCCTCCACCTCCTTCAGCTCACCTCTCTTTTGGTCCAGCAGGGCCATGGTCGCAGCCAGGGACTCCTGCGCCTCCGCCAGGTTGGCCTTCTTAGGAGCCACCACCTTAAACCAAAGAGAGCGGTTGATTTCAAAGAACAGGAACAGGGTATATGCAGGAATCCTGAAGTCAAAGGTAATACCTTTTAAGACCCTTTCCATACATTTTAAGACCTCATCGCCACTTTGAGTTTTAAACGGTTACATTGGCGACACATTTACTATATACAGCATTGATTGTCCTTCCTCCTTATCTTCCAACCATTTGGACGCAAACTTGCATTTCCCCATAACGATGTTGTTTAACAACCGGCGTAAACAGGCCTTCGCGCGCTATCAAGCAGTGAGCGTGCGATGTCCTGTTCAGATGACGTCCAATCCAACGGGATACCATAAATAAAGTACACAGAATCACACTACACACCTACGCAATGATTACATTCAGGCACACTGTAGAATACAACCTCTTTGGACAATTGATATGCTTATTGAAAACAAACTAAAAAATGTACTACCTTGGAAAATCCCGTTTAATACTTTTTAATAGCCTTAATTTCCGCTAAATTGATTTATCAACTTGTTTTAGGACTCCGCGGACACCCTGAGGAAGCAAACATGCACGTGTTATCATGGGGGAAAAAAGTCTATTGAAAACACTGCACCTTTGCCACTCTGTCGTACACCTCCATTGCTTGGATCCACTTGCACAGCCCCTCTGCTGCAGAGGAGGCCTTTGCTACTATACTGGGGTCAAAGTCGGGGTTTGTCATGAACTCACTGCGGATCTTTTGCATCACATGGACCTGCAAAGAAGAAATATGGCCGTTTGTCAGAGCACCGGGGAGTGTTTAATAAGCAAATTAGCAATGTAGCTTTTCTGACACTTACAGGAATATTGTCCTTGTCATACTCTCTTAGATCTCGTAAAAAGTTCATATCACCCAGAAGCTTCTTGCTTGGGCCCCAGTAGTCCAAAACCTTAACAATAAAGAAAACATGTTATTTATTGAGATACTAATATAAGTTGCAATGACAGACACTCGTAATGTCTTTTTTCAGTCCAAACCTTTTTGCCAGTCCCAGCTGGGTCAACTATCTTATCCGGCTTTATGTCCTTCATCACACACACCGCAGACATCACCAACTTCACCCCTGAGGGAGGATTTTTCATCGACTTCACGATTGTGACATCAGAGGGCTGAAAGAAAACAAGCAGCTCAACTTATTTGACTGTCTAAGCTGCGAGTGGCTAAAGTTGATATTGAAGAACAGCTGAAGAGAGCTGACCTTCAGAGTGTTCAGGGCAGAGAGAGCAGCCTCCAGCGCGGGGATGGCCTCAGCCAGGTCACTCTCACACTCATTCTTCAGAGCCTGAGCCGCATTTGCTTTTATAGTTGCTGCCTCCTCATCGACACGCACAACTTTACTTTTGGCTTCTACCTGAACCGACTCCACTTCAATCACCTGAAAGTCATAACAATAAACAATTGAATTCAGTATATTCATATGTACTGGTATTCTAGGTTGACTTGAATGAAGATGCGATTCTCATTCACCTTCATCATTTTGTTGTTATCTATCGTGGCCTGTTCCAGTTTGGGCTGCAGGTCTACAAGTTCCTTCTTCATCTCGCTAACCTGCAGAGAAACGTTTAAGATGAGTTCAACCAAAATATGATAACATGTTTTAATTCAAAAAGAAAGAAATGTGGTGCTGCATATACCTGAGATTCAGCGAAGGCAAGTTTGTCCAGCCCGTTGGTATACCTCTGTTTTGCTTTCATGACAGTGTCTCTTTTCTCAGAGAGGAGCAGACGGAAAGCTGCAATCAGCTCCAGGTAGGATGTGGGTGTTACATAATTATGGCGACCTAGCTCAGAGAGGAATCTGCGGTGAAAACAATTTAGTTTAGCCTCTTGTCATAGTTTACCTCCGAATGTACACGTTATTAAAGACCACAGGACATACAGTACCTATCTGAGAGCTGTTTGGCAGATGTATGGAATGTTTTGCAGATGGGTATGACCTGCCGCCTCTCATTTTCACTCATGTCCAATGACTCCAGGAAGGAGTTGGCTACTCGCTCAAGAGCCTCCTCTGGCCATGGCTGTCAGGGCCAGGAAAGAAAGCACTGTGAGGAAACTGATGTGAGGGGAAAGTATGCAAAAAGCAAACCGCTGACCCTGTTAAGAATAGCATCCATTAGCCTTTACATTACCTGGAACCAGTCAATAGTACAGCAGTTGATAAGAGATGGGAACTGGCGCAGGCGGTTTCGAAATGCATCTCCAATAGGACTAAAAGCCACAACTATGTGAAGGTTCTCTCTACAGCGTGCCACAAAGAAGGCGAACAGAGTCAAAGGACTCAACTCCAAATTCTTGTTTCCAGCCTGGGCAACAGGTCGTACTGTCTGGAAAGAGATTAAATAGAGGGAACATTAAATATAGTATAGTATAGTCAAATGATTATGGTCTTCATACGAGGGAGGGATACATTGCTCTATTAAGGATATTCTTAGAGCTTGTGCCTACCTCCATGATCTCTTGCTTTTCATCTATGGCAAACAGATTGGGCACCTCCCCTGTGTTCAGGACACTGTCCACGTCTTCTAGAAAAGCCTCATCTTTGATCTGAGCATCAGTAAGCAGGAACACTGTCTTCTGACCTTTCACCCCTGCATTTTTCAGCAGCATCTAAAGTATAATTCAGAGCAAAGAGACTCTTAAATCTTCCAGAATCACAAACAGAGATGAAAATGGTATCTGAAAAATACATAGAACACAGAAGTCTGTCCTAGACAATAAAGCTGACCTTGAGGTCGTCTCTCCACTCAGTGATACCGTAGCTCTTAGAGATCTCAGGCTGGAACATGGTCATGTGGGCCATGGATGTGGCTAGACGGGTGATGGACTGGCGCCCGCTGCCTCCAACTCCCACCAGTAGGGCATTGCCTCCTGGCTGCTTCAACACACGGCTGATACGGGACAGGTGCTCCAGGACATAGCTACATAATGCCACATTTTGTTATTTAGCTGATCAAGTTTTCATCCAACGGTATAAAAACATAATTTCAATTTTAACCGAACTAAGGTCAAGTCATTTGGTTGTTTGTCATTTAACAATAAATACTGTAGCCTAAGCCCTTATGGCAGATGTAGTTTGTTGACTTCATAAAATCAAAGCTGTTTACCGGAAGATGACGAGGTTCATGCGATTCTTGTGCATCTGGTTGTATTCATCAAGACACGACTCCACCACTTCAGAAAAGCTTTCCATTGAGGGCACCTCAGAGTACAAGCGTTCATCATCCTCCAGGTCAGGGTCCATGTAGTCACCAAACAGAAGATTCCGCATGTCTTCCTCAACCAGCTGAGAAAGTAAGAACATTTAAAACATTCAGATGCTTGTACAAAGTATATCGAAGAAAGATATAAAATCTTATTCAAATCCGGGGCAGCTTAACTTACTCTACTGCCTTGCTTCAGGTGATCAAACACCTGGTCAAAGGACTCTTTGAAGTGATCTTTGAGGATGCCGTTCATCAGCTGGTAGAGCCATGCTCGATCTTTGTCATCCACCAGGCGGTCATAGTAGACCCTGAAGACCTCGTGGACAAACAAGCGTATCATGGTGCGTTTGTTCTCCAGAGAGTCCTTCTTCAGCAGCAGGCAGCCTTGGATAACGCGTGAGAAGTCCCGCAGGTTGAAGGTGTAGTGAGACTTGGCTGGAGTTGGAAGTAGGTTCTCCATAGCTTTCTTATACACCTTTTGAAATGTAAAACATAGAAATAAAGCATTGCAGACAAGATATGATTGATAAGAGCCTTTAACACATGAAAAAGGCTAATTTGAAGATATGTCATTGTGTGTATTTGGGACTCACTTCCATTGTAGCTGTCACAATTTGGTTGCCAATTGTGAAATATTCAGGTTGGAACTGATTGTTTTTGAGATAGAAGGCCACCACGCTGGAGAAGATGCGAACCATGGTGTCGTCACTGAAGGCATTGATGCTAAAAATGTTGAAGTGCCGCAGAAAGCGAGACGTCACAGCGTTCCTCCCGCCACCGGGGGGGCCCATAGCTGAGATGAGCTGGAGGTCAACGAGAGAGATCCTGGAGGTATCCTTCAGGTCATACCTGCCAGAGCACAAAGGTTTACTCAACAATGCTTCTTTAATCAGAATCAGAATCAGAAACAGGTTTATTGCCAGGTAGGTTCAGACATACGAGGAATTTGACTTGATGTCATGGTGCATACATCAAATATAAAACAAGAAATCTATAACAAAAAATCTTTAAGGACACCGTAATAAAATAGTTAAATAGCAATAAAATAAAGCAGTAATTTACATGGAAATAGAATGCTATTAATGAATTATAGGATACAAAATATGAAACAAGAAATATGTGCAGTAAGCATTATGAACATTGTGTGCATTAATGTAATGCATATTGAGACTACGTTGTGGCTGAGGTAAGTGATGAGTGAGTGACTAATCTTAATGCATCAGTTATTCCTGTTTTCCTTTTGATATGAGAGTGGTATCTAATAATGGATGGTGTCACCTACCGGCGACCTAAGTGACCTGTACTCATTGTCTATTTTTACAGTTGGACCCGTTCTTTCTGTCGGCGTCTTCACGTGTCTGGCTAGCTCAACAACAGCAAGTGGTGGGATGCTATGTCACAGCGGTATACGTGGATCGGAGTCACCTGGCAGCACGGTAGTCCTATGCCTCACAATCACACAGGAACACGGGAGTGACTGTATGTATTTTCACGGAAAACAAAATTGACAACTGTGCACGATCGAGTAGTATTCGGACAAAAGTGTGCTAACCACACAGGATTGAGGTGGCGACCCTAAAAATAAATTTAACTAAACCATAAACGGAATGTGGAGAGGAGACAAAAAAAGATGCCTTGAGGGGGAAAACAACCCAGGGAACACCTTCAGCGGTCACCACTACATTTTCTCTCCGACGGACTTGTTGACCTGTTTCTGGTCAATAGATGAAGGAATATTTTGAAAAGTCGAGCGGTGATCGCCAGGTTGGTTTGGAAGTCGAGCTCGTAAATCTCGGTTCCTATCTTCTTAAAGAAACGTCCCTCAAAACCCTTAGTGCGAGAGAGCTATTCGTCGCGCAATAATCTGACAGAGCAAAATTTGTTTTCTGTAACGTTTCCAACAGTACAAATAAAAATTAAATTAAATAGCAAAAATAAACGTTCGTCCTGTCGTACGTGTACGTCCTGTGTGAAGACATTTACTTCGCCTAAACTCGAAAATCCAGTAAAGGTAGGCAGGCTCAAGGCAGTGTATGTTGCGTATACTTCGTTGAGTCCTAGTGCAACATGGAGATATGTACCGTTTTTGATCGTTATGTAACTGATACGGGTCCGTTCTCGAGACTCGTCGCTATAGTTTCGTAAATTCGTGTACCGTCGAATGTTACATCGTCGACCTACTATATATTCTCACGTTTATTCTATTTTAGCTATGTAATTAAAATTTTCTTTTTCAAATCATAAACCTGCAGAAATAACAGAACCGTGAGCTATGATCTCACCATTAGTACAGGCCTAGACCATTTCCTGCTCCTTCCCGCTCACAAGCCCGCGGCTGGGTACCGGCTTTTTCACGATAGTAGAAACACCTACTGTACTTGTACGGACGTGACGCTTGCTCAGAACCTGCGGCGTCGGTGGACAACGCTCGAAAAAGGCCGCTCATCAATATACCTGGTAC